TCTTTTTCTTGTGTGTTTAAGGTATTGGATGAGCAGTCTCTCTCTCTCTCTCTCTCTCTCTCTCTCTCTCTCTCATATCCAAGAGATTGTATGTTTCTCACCCCCCAGAGTCGTCGACCATAATAAGAATCAATCTGGCTGGGTATTATTTCAATTCTCTTCCTCATATACTAACCTAACTCTAACCTAACCTGACCTGACCTGACCTGACCTGACCTGAGAAATTTGGTGAAGTATATCTTTAGCCACCACTAACTCTAACCTAACCTAACCTAACCTAACCTAACCTAACCTAACCTAACCTAACCTAACCTAACCTAACCTAACCTAACCCACAATGGCGTGAGTGACATAGACACAACACACTGCTGCTCTCTGTGGCACGAGGAGGTTCGACCCCAGACCGCTCAAGATGGCAAGCGAAGAAATTATTAGTTTTTGGTGGAGTGTGGAGCTCTGCAGGAGGTCGGGAGGTGTGGAGTGAGGTAGTGGTTCTGGAGGTCGGGAGGTGTGGAGTGAGGTAGGGGTTCTGGAGGTCGGGAGGTGTGGAGTGAGGTAGTGGTTCTGGAGGTCGGGAGGTGTGGAGTGAGGTAGGGGTTCTGGAGGTCGGGAGGTGTGGAGTGAGGTAGTGGTTCTGGAGGTCGGGAGGTGTGGGTGAGGTAGGGGTTCTGGAGGTCGGGAGGTGTGGGTGAGGTAGTGGTTCTGGGGTCCGGGAGGTGTGGGAGTGAGTAGGGGTTCTGGAGGTCGGGAGGTGTGGGGAGGTAGTGGTTCTGGAGGTCGGGAGGTGTGGAGTGAGGTAGGGGTTCTGGAGGCCGGGAGGTGTGGAGTGAGGTAGTAGTTCTGGAGGTCGGGAGGTGTGGAGTGAGGTAGGGGTTCTGGAGGTCGGGAGGTGTGGGTGAGTAGGGGCTCTGGAGGTCGGGGTGTGGAGTGAGGTAGGGGCTCTGGAGGTCGCCAGCCCGATATTTACTCTTAATCTTTGTGTACATAGATTCTGGGTCTCAGCCGGGGTACCTGAGAGAGAGAGAGAGAGAGAGAGAGAAGAGAGAACTTAGTAGATAATTTCAGCTCACACACACACACACACACACACACACACACACACACACACACACACACACACACACTAATTCGACCACATATACTGTTGTTATCATAATAAAAACAAAAAATAATACAAGTAAATTTATTATTATATTATTAAAGAAATAACGAAACAAATTACCAAATTAACACTCACAATCCACTTGACAGCCTCTTGTAGTGGGGTTTGGCAGACGAAGTGTGTGGGGGTGGGGGGTGTGGCAGACGAGTGTGGGGAGGGGGGTATAGCAGACGAGTGTGGGGGTTGGCAGACGAGGTGTGGGGGGTGGGGGTGTAGCAGAGAAGTGTGGGGGTGTGGCAGACGAGTGTGGGGGAGGGTGTAGCAGACGAGGTGTGGGGGAGGAGGGTGTAGCAGACGCGTGTGGGGAGGGGTGTAGCAGACGAGGTGTGGGGAGGGGTGTGGCAGACGAGTGTGGGGGGTTGGCAGACAAGTGTGTGGGGAGGAGGGGGGGGGGTCAGGCAGTGGTGTCTTGAGCCACCCAAGGCCAACGTTATTAAAGATAGTGTTTTGATCTTTGATGAAGGTAAAGGAACATTGGTAGAGCTCCAGTAACTTACCTGGTCTTATAAACATTGTGTCTCCTCCTTATACTTGGCATACACGTCCATGGTCATGCAGCGTTAGAATACCACGCCAAATATTATCATAATAAGCCAACGCCAGCGTGGCCAGAAAGCCGTCCTTCATTCTATAACCACCAGAACGAGTTGTGAGGAGGTCCGGGAGCCTCACTTCATCTTGTTCAAGTGAAGGACGACAATGGATTCTTGGATGTAGCATTTTTAGGCCAATTTCGCTGACCTGTAGCGGCAGTTCCCTTTTTTATAACTAACTGTGTCCATGATCCGGCCAACAGCATGTATAGAAATAACTTCTGTTATCTCTGTTGTGATGTGGGATTAGTACAACTCTGGGGCATATTTTTGGCTATATGTTCCTGAGTGGTCTCTCTTGAGGCTGCCAATTGGCTTACATAACCCCAAGTCAATAACACTCACATTGGCTTCCCCGGTTTGTGTGTTTTAGTTAACTATTAAGTTATCACTTTTTAAGTCACCGTGGATTAATCCAGCTCGGTGGATTTCCCTCAGTCGTTGTACGAGAGAAATTAGCGCCCTTATGCACTCACTCTTGGTACTGTTGCGGGCAAATGCCTTAAAGGACATCCCCTCAACGTAAGACATGGTGTAGAGAGGATAGTCGCCACACACACACACACAGTGCTTGAGGGCGCCACCTGCACCGTTTAAGTTGAGGAGAATGTCTTCCTCTCTAGCAAAAGATTACCCTTATTTTTTTGGTTCTTTTCATGCACACGAGTTAGTCATTCAGGCGGAACAGCTCAACTACCCCCGACGCTCTCCCCCAGTATTTACCTCACCTCGCTCAGCTGAAGGACTTCCTCAACAGAGAGAACGTGAGGAGAATCCATGTTGTTCAGGCCAACATTAACCTTAATAAGAGTGTTCTAGGCCTGTTAACTGCTGATTCTATCTAGGTTAATGAGGCCGGAACATTGATATTATATAGGGTTTTAGTAGCCAAACCCAATTGTCTGTTATCCCTTTGTTCAGGAACTATCTAGGATACAGTTCCAAATGTATATCACCGTAACTTATCACTGTAGCTATGAGTGTTAAGAGAAGGACGGAGGCTATGTTAAATAGTCCTGCTAAATACGTCCGGTTGGTGTGAGGTGTTGAGTAACAATGCCGATGAGTAGGAACCCATCGAGGGAGAACGGAAATATGTACGTCGTCCTCCCTCGAGGGAAGATGGAACCATCCACGATGGCTCTCAATAACGTCTTCCTCTAGTCAAGGTTATCAAACTACTGCCCGCATTAGGTGGCCAGAGAGCCGGCTACTTAATGCCTTAACTCAACACAATATGACGTGGCTTCCCGTGGGCACACCTTATCACGTGCTCTGAACATGCTACCTCATAGCCAGTGGAAAGTTACAGAGGGTGATAGAGTTTATAAATCAAATGTAATTAACCCATTTATGTAATACTTCTGCCTATAAGACAGGGGCTATTACAAGAGTTAACCTGTTGTAGTGTAGTACTGTAGTGGTGTTGTAGTGTAGTACTGTAGTGGTGTTGTAGTGAACTACTGGTGTTGTAGTGAACGCTCTTAGTGTCACCTTCATCCGCCTGTTTATCAGTATAGGGAAGATGTTAGCTGTGGTGCCACTGATCTGTTTACCTTTATGCTGATATAGTAAAGTGCTGTGTGTGTGTGTGTGTGTGTAAGGGGATTAATTTCGTGTGTTTTTGTGTTTGTGTATCAATAAATCGTTGTTTACGTGTGATATTTTGGTATTGTGTTGGTTATGATGGGAATTATATTGCTATATGTTTACATTGGTTATATTGCTATTGTCCTATTTTGGAAATTTCTGGTATATTTTGTATTTAAATATGTAAATTGAAAACACGATATGTCCATTGTCGTATTGGTGGGTGAGAGTGGATGGGTGAGTGGGTGAATGGAAGGGTGGGTAGATAGGTGCCCCCATATACTTATGCTTATACTTAACCTTTTTCTTAGCCTTGCTTCTTAACCCTTGCTTAGCCTTAACCTTCCTTATATATATATATATATATATATATATATATATATATATATATATATATATATATATATATATATATATATACTCTGCTCTCTCTGCTCTCTCTCTCTGCCTACCTGCCTGCCTTATGCTTAAAAATGGCCGAAATTGCTTATCACACGGTGTAGTTTTGCACATTAAAAAGGTTTATTAGAGGGTCTATCCAGAAGCACCCGGGAGAGATAAGAGATAGAAGAGATAAGAGAGAATAGGAAGAGATAAGAGAGATGCATAGAAGAGATAAAGAGATACCAGGAAGAGAAATAAGACAACCAGAAGAGATAAGAGAGAATAGAAAGAGATAAAAGAGACACCTAGAAGAGATAAAGAGATACCATGAAGAGATCAGAGACAAATGGACATACTTGTCTATATTCAGGATTCTAATATGGCTTGATGTTGGGTATACTGTGTTGGGTATATTGGTATGCTTGTATGTTCTGTATGGTGATATTAAGGTGATTTATGAAGGAATATGCCAGTATAACCTCTGTCGTGTGGGTTATATTGGTATATTTGTAAATTGTTGGTTTACACTAGGGATACAACGTAATAACCTACATGGAGACACCAACAAAATCGTCATAGTTATAATATCAGTTTAGACAACTTGGTATATTCCTTTGTGTTTTCATTTCAGAACCTAACCTAAACCTAACCCTAACCTAAACCTAACCCTAACCTAACCCTAACCTAAACCTAACCTAACCTGACCTAATTACTGTCACCCTGTAGTGTACTTGACTGTCAGTTACTGTGTACTCTGAAGGGAAGGGGTGGGTATTGTAATCGGTCGCTGTGTGTGTGTGTGTGTGTGTGTGTGTGTGTGTGTGTGTGTGTGTGTGTGTGTGTGTGTGTGTGTGTGTGTGTGTGTGCGTGCGTGCGTGTTAACCCGTGTCGGCTAGATACAAGAGCGAGAAGTCCACACCATTTAATAAAACTATTTTAATATAGATGAATTAAAATGATCATTGTATATGCAAGCGGCGTGTGTGAGGTACTGTCGACAATTAGCCACCACTATTTGTTGACGTGTGGGTGAGCCAACAACAACAACAAAGATATTGTCCTGTTGCTGGGGTGAAAGTTAGGTAGACATTATTAATTATTCTGTACCGTAGTTTTGGAACCGGGTGGGGGAGGGGGGGAGCAGGGAGAAGGGGTGGTGCAAGGGAGAGGGGGGAGGGGGAGGGGGAAGCAATACTGTACTTGATGAAACGACTGGATGAGAACTAGGAATCTTACAGCTGAAATTAAGCCTTGGAAATAATCGTAATGAAATGAAGCGAATCGATAAACACTGGGCAGCAGGAAGCACCTTCAACAGTCAACAACCACAACAGGCAACACTCGCAGCAGGTAACACACACAATAGGCAACACCCGCAGCAGGTAACACACACAGCAGGCAACACCCTCAACAGTCAACAACCACAACAGGCAACACCCGCAGCAGGTAACACACACAGCAGGCAACACCCTCAACAGCCAACACCCACAGCAGGCAACACCCTCAACAGCCAACACCCACAGCAGGCAACATCCCTAACAGCCAATACCCACAGCAGGCAACATCTAACAGCCAACACCCACAGCAGGCAACATCTCAACAGCCAACACCCACAGCAGGCAGCACCCTCAACAGCCAGCACCCACAGCAGGCAACATCCTCAACAGCCAACACCCACAGCAGGCAACATCCTAACAGCCAATACCACAGCAGGCAACATCACAACAGCCAACACCCACAGCAGGCAACACCTCAACAGCCAACACCCACAGCGAGCAACATCTCAACAGCAACACCCAGCGAGCAACATCCTCAACAGCAACACCCACAGCAGCACCCTCAACAGCCAACGCAAACCTTTTGCCCTCAACAGCCAGCACCCACGGCAGGCAGCATCCCTCAGCAGCCAACACCCACGGCAGGCAGCACTCAACAGCCAACACCACAGCAGGCAACACCCTCAGCAGCCAACACCCACAGCAGGCAACACCACTCAACAGCCACCCACAGCAGGCAACACCCTCAACAGCCAACACCCTCAACACCCGGAGATGTGCTGCTGAGGCCAGTGAGTGCATTGGTACGTCCCTGTGGTGACATTGACAGAGGGTGGGGAGGTAAGTGGTGGGAGAGTAGAGGTAGGTGGGAAGTAGAGGTGGGTGGGAAGTAGGTAGGTGGGAGAAGTGGAGTGGGTAGGAGAGTAGAGGTGGGTGGGAGAGTAGAGGTGGGTGGGAGAGTAGAGGTGGGTGGGAGAGTAGAGGTGGGTGGGAGAGAAGTCGAAGGTGAGGTTCAGGAAACTCTCACAGTAGCAGTTAAATACGATCGTGACTTGTTAACAGTACACACACACACACACACACACACACACACACACACACGGTCTTAAGTCACTCAGGGTCAGAGGTGAGAGGTGAACCAGGTGTGGGTGAAGGTGGACACGAGAGTTAATTAAGACAAGGTAGGAAGTGCTCCACCCCCTGGCTCCTCCACACGGCCGAGAAACACCACTTACTACATTGACCTTTGACACACGGGGAAGACGTGCTTAAGTCCCGGTGATGTAAAGAGTGTTGGAGAGCAGTGTTGGTGATGAGTTGAGAGTAGTGTTGGAGGGCAGTGTTGGTGATGAGTTGAGAGTAGTGTTGGAGGGTAGTGTTGTAGGGCAGTGTTGGCGATGAGTTAAGAGTAGTGTTGGAGGGCAGTGTTGGTGATGAGATGAGAGTAGTGTTGGAGGGCAGTGTTGGTGATGAGATGAGAGTAGTGTTGGAGGGCAGTGTTGGTGATGAGTTGAGAGTAGTGTTGGAGGGCAGTGTTGGAGGGTAGTGTTGGTGATGAGATGAGAGTAGTGTTGTAGGGCAGTGTGGCGATGAGTTAAGAGTAGTGTTGGAGGGCAGTGTTGGTGATGAGATGAGTAGTGTTGGAGGGCAGTGTTGGAGGGCAGTGTTGGTGATGAGATGAGAGTCGTGTTGGAGGGCAGTGTTGGTGATGAGTTGAGAGTAGTGTTGGAGGGCAGTGTTGGTGATGAGATGAGAGTAGTGTTGGAGGGCAGTGTTGGTGATGAGTTGAGAGTAGTGTTGGAGGGCAGTGTTGGCGATGAGTTAAGAGTAGTGTTGGAGGTGCAGTGCTGGCGATGAGTTGAGAGTAATGTTGGAGGGCAGACACAGACAACAACACAGACAGACACAAAAACAAATACAAAACAAACACACAAACAAACACACAGGCATAAAAACACAGCCTCTTAGTAGCCCCAACACCTGCATGACACATGTAAAGTTAAAACACACCACTATTAAACCTTATGACTTATTTCCTCATTATTTTTTTTCCCTACTGGCGAGGAATAAACGACACTATTAGTTTTTTTTTTCTTCCTATTAATGACTTATTATCTACCGGTTCAGGCTAAGTCTTCTCCTCATTCATTTTTTCGAAGTGGGTTGTTAACTTCTATTTCACCATCTACAGCAGTTTGGTATAAATGTTATATGTCTTTGACCTTACACTGACAACTTATTTACTTTTCAACCACTACTTAACAACTTAAACCACTCCATCAAATTAAATGTGGACCATTGTAGACCAGAACAGTGTAGAGACGAACAGACTAGACCAGTGTAGTCACGACCAGACCAGACCAGTGTAGACACGACCAGATCAGATCAGACCAGTGTAGACAAGACCAGATCAGACCACTACCAAATGAGACCAATCATGACCCTGCATCAGCCCCCGGGATCAGTGTGTCTGAATACTCCAGCTGTGACGTGACTCAGAGCAGCAGTAATTGTCAGGAAGCACCGCCGGCCTCACGTAACGAGCCTCGGGCCTTGTTGCTGTCTGTCTCGTAATAAAGTCTCGTATTGCTGGTTTGCGAGACTCTACCCGGCGACCGTCACTCGGCTGAGACTTAGCTCAGGTAAACTTACGGTGAGAGAAACACCTGTAATTAACCCCACAAGGTCAACTGGGGGTCGATGGTCGCGTCTTCTCACCTCTCCTTCCCCCTCCCCCCCTCCCCCCCCGCCCTCTCTCCCCCAGGCCTTCTTTTCACCGTGTCAAAATTTTGGAAATTCAATTAAGTTTTTGAATCCGTTTTGTTGCCATTTTTAACTCAGCCCAAAATTCTTCTCTACCGGGAAACTTTACCTGCATAACTTGGGGCTTTCTTTTATCAAGCCTTGAGGAGAGCACCGCGCCAGCCTCCCTCCCTTCCTTCCCTAGCACCACCCACCCCTGCCCTCCAGCTCCACCCACCTTTCCCTCCTCCTTACCCTTTCCTACCCTCACCCATCCCTCTACCTTCACCCCCTACCAACACCCACCCCTCCCCTCATTACCACCCACCCCTCCATCATCACTTCCTCCCCCTCAGAACTTCACACCCCTCCGTCTTCCTTCCCTCCAACACCTCCATCCCCCCCCTCCCCACCAGGTTCAGGGAGGGACGCAGAGTTTCGACTTGGACAAAATTCTCGTGACCTTTGTGTCGTCTTCTTCCCTGGTAGAGGCGGCGTCATCTCTCTGTCTCCCCAGCTGCAGGTTTTCCCAACTGGATCTACCAAGTTCGGACAGGTTTTGCATCTCTGCCTTATATCACGGCTTTATTAAAACTGGCCTGGGTGTGAGCCTCCTCATTGACGCCATCCTCTACACCCGACATTAAAGCGAAATAATAATATTAATAATAATAATAATAATAATAATAATAATAATAATAATAATAATAATAATAATAATAATAATGAAAATTCCAAATGACAATTAACATAAGAGAGCGTCAGTTCTTTTCCTGTACATCACTTTCTCGGTGAAGGATCGTGTCAAAACTCACCTCCTAACTACGCCAGTCTCCCCGGGATGCAGTAGAAATCATCTTCAATAAACAAACTAAGATTCTGGTATATGAACCATCCAACCCGCGTCTTATATGGCTGACCCACAACAACACTCGTCGGATCAGCGCGATATTTCAATTACTTGTCATTCTCATTCTTTCTCCCTCGTACACCCTCTCTCCTACACCCTCTCTCCTACACCCTCTCTTCTACGCCGTCTCTCCTACACCCTCTCTCCTACACCCTCTAGCACGTGTCAGGAGCTTCACTTAATATATTTCCATGGCCAGTGTGAGTAGAGAGGTGCTGGGGCTACTGTGTATGTGTGTGTGTGTGTGTGTGTGTGTGTGTGTGCGTGTGTGTGTGTGTGCGTGTGTGTGTGTGTGTGTGTGTGTGTGTGTGTGTGTGTGTGTGTGTGTGCGTGCGTGCGTGTGTGTGTGTGTGTGTGTGTGTGTGTGTGTGTGTGTGTGTGTGTGTGTGAGAGTGAGGTGCTGGGGGCTACAGTGTGTGTGAGAGAACAGTGAGATGCTGAGGGCTACATGTGTGTGTGCAGATTAAGAACAGCTTATTGGTTGATATTTAACTTACAGCATAATGATTTACGGTCTAACACACACACACACACACACACACACACACACACACACACACACACACACACTAAATATAACTAAACTATTACCTTTTTCCCATGGTATTTAAAACTAACGCGCCTACAAGTTAACCCTACCCATAATAGTAGATACGGTAGTTACTCCAACCTAACCTAACCTAACTTAACCTAACTTAACCTAACTTAACCTAAACACCTCAGGTAACGTCGGTGGGGGGTGGGAGGGGGGAGGTAATTCTCGGATCAATTCTTACTACTATAACACTAACGCCCCGCCATCTTGGTCCTCCGCCACAACAAGACCTTCACGCTACCTGTCAAGACACACAATAGACTGACCAGATAAATCTACGGTAAATATAACCCACATTTTACTTAATCTTCTAAGTCGTCTTACCGGTGGGAGTTTCTGTCATAACAAACATGTAATAATAATAATAATAATAATAATAATAATAATAATAAGAGAAGGAACTACGACTCCCTGCAGCATATGACTATAGATGACTTGGAATATGTAGCGCTAAATATAGATGGCGCTGATCTGTGTGAGGCTTCTGTTTGTTTACAGTTGAGAGGCAGACAGCGAGCGGTGTGTTCAACCTGACGAAGGTGTAAAAATGACCCCAGCGACAGGTACCCAAAGGTGTGTCGTGTGTGGCGAAGATAAGAGGAAATAAAGTTATCTGAAATTCCATAATTTTTCCGTAGATAAAGAGATAAGTTTAGGTATACAAAACCTAACCTAACCATACCTATCAGAACCCTACCCTCTTTCGATTTTATCTCAACCTAATCTAGCCTAATCTAACCTAACCTAACCTAACCACATTCTCTCAACATCCACACGTTACTCACACGGGTGATGAGGACAAAAACAACAGCAACAACGACATATGGGAGAGAAATGCACTACAGGAGGAAGGAAGGAGCCAACGAACGAACGACCGAGTGAACGAAGGAAGGAAGGAAAGATGGAAGAAAGAAGGAAGGAAGGAATATACCACCTTTCCTTCCCTTCCTTACCTAAAACATTCACCTTCGGTCTCGTTCACTGTCGACTATGTGGCTGGGAAAATATCTCTCCTGACCAGACGACAACACGACCAAGAACAGACGGTGGTGGTGACCTCCCTAGATAAGAGATGACCTGTGCTTAAATTCAAAGACTTTAAAACTCTCTCGCCGCTCTCTATCGCAGGTGTGCCTCGCCCTACACCTGTCCACCTGGCCCGAGTAAGAGAGGTCACACACCTGCCTCCCTCCACTCACCTCTTCTTGCCTTGGACGCTGCTGCTGCCGTGTCATGCAGGCCCTCGCCTCTGGCACGTCGTGACTGGCATGCATTAAGTCTCCATTGAATTATGGTGCAACATTTTACAACGTTTATGTTGTTATTCTGCAACATTAGTTGGTTGAAAAGAATGAGAAATTTGAGAGGGATGAGAGATGAGAAAGATGAGAGGGATAGAGTGATAAGAGGGATAGAGAGATGAGAGGGATAGAGTGATGAGAGGGATAGAGACATGGCGCCGAGGAAACTTCCCATCGTGAGAGATAATGTCAAAACTTTCTCTCCCGGAAGATCGAAGTGAGGGAAAGAGGGTCAAACTTTCTGAGAGAAGAGCTGTCGTTATACTTTCATTTGAGGGAAAGATGTAGTTTGGCGATATCGACTTATCATTTGGCGAGCGAAAGTTTACTGTTGCAGGATGATACTTATTTGGCGAATGAATATAGTTTGATTTATTAGCTGGAGAATGTGGAGCTATCTGGGAAGAAGGAGGAGGACGAGGAGGAGAAGGAGGTGGAGGAGGACGAGAAGAAGAAGGAGAAGAAGGAGGACGAGAAGAAGAAGAAGGAGAAGAAGAAGAAGAAGAAGAAGAAGAAGAAGAAGAAGAAACTGAAACTTAATCTTTAACGGAACAAAGTCCACAAGTACTGTAACTCTATGGTAAATAAATAACAAAAACAGGAGACGAAGTAAACATATTTGGGGACGAAGAAGAAAGAAAAACAATGGTGGAAATATATCTAATTACACATCCAGGAGGAGAATATATTACCAGAGAGAGGAAGATCAATTCTTATTCCCATCATCACAGCAAGTAATATCGCCTCCGGTGGGCTGTCTCTTGGTGGGGGGGGTTGAGGAGGTGTGAGAGAAAGAGGGTTGGTGGAGATGGGGAGGGAGAGGGGGATGGTGGGTGAGAGAGAGAGTTACCTACCTACCTCCACCATATCACTATCACCTCTCTCACCTGGTCGTGTGGATGGCCTCATTCCTCAGGCCTTTACGATGTCTGGTATGCAGGTTTGGTAATGACGTCACTCAGCTGGGATTCGAACCTCAAGCTTTGTATATATGGAGGATTTGATGAGGAAGTTTCGTAAAAAAAATTGGGGGGTGGGGGGCTGTTTCCGGTGTGTGTGTGTGTGTGTGTGTGTGTGGGTGTGTGTGTGTGTGTGTGTAATAATAATAATAATAAATAATAATTAACGGTTTATTGAAAGAGCTTGGCAGCCAGAAGGCTGAAAATATACAGTTACATATTTGGGGAATGGGTTACGAATTACAAATAATATACAAGTAACATAAGTGACACAAATAAGACATATAATAACTAGATGGGGAAAAGCTCAAACTACAGTTCATTTCAACATAGTGACAGTGTAAGGAGCAGTGTTTACTGGGAGTGTGTGTGTGTGTGTGTGACCGACATTCACCATCGTGCTATCATTGAAATCCCTTAAGTTCTAAGGTTCTACGAATGCCACTTACAATATTTTATATGACTTAACAAAAAATAAAATATGATAAAAGTTTAGTCTTGTGTTCGTGATGGTGTAAAATGAGTGAAAATTTTATCATCTTCGCATACAAATTTTTATTACCGGGCTCGTATGAAGGTTGGCGGCCATAATCTTAAATTTCACTGGCATGCAAATCTTAACAACCTCGTGTTCTCTCGAGGGATCCGGAGCTCGGTATCTACTTATTCTGAATTTTTGATTGCCATTTTCTTTGACTTTTCCAAATCTGGTTTTCACTCTTTGAGAACTAAAGAAGACGAGAGTGGGAGGCCAGCGATCATCAAGTTACTGTGGTGGCTATAGGAGAGGAGGGGAGCCGGGGTTAGGTCTAGCCAGTTTCGGTGGTTCATTGGACTAAGACTATGGTTTTATCTCTGTCACGTGGGTTCGAATCTCTCTCTGCTCGAGGGATATAAGAAGAATTTAAAAGTATTGGTGATTCAGACTCCAGACTATATACTGTACTTCCTCAGTTCAGACCCCAGACCAGTTCACTGTAGAGGTCCACCCAATAAAGATTCAGACCCGAGACCAAGACCTCAAACCAAGATCTCAAGACTAAGACCTCAAGACTAAGATCTCAGACCTCAAGACCAAGAGTTCAAGACCAAAACCTCAAAATCAAGACCTCAATACCAAGAACCCCAAGACCAATACACCAAGACCAAGACACCAAGACCAAGACACCAAGACCCCAAGACCAAGACCTCAAACCAATTCCATAAGACCAAGACTTCAAAACCAGAACCCCCAAAACCCAAGACCAAGACTCCCAAAACCCAAAACCTAACATCGCCTTCCTTCCGAAGAAATGGCACCCTCTCCCTCCAGTCGGACACCAATAATAATCAGTCGGTCTTCCATCCAGGAGTAAAAGCTCCTTGAGAATAGACGATGGGAGGTATTATTCGCCATTGTGCCCCGGCGGATGACAGTAGTGGCAGTGTGTGACGGATGAGCCTTCGTTAAGAATCTCATCACAGGAGAAGAAAGAAACGAACCGCCTTGTGAGTCTCGTATCTCTCTCTCTATCTCTCTCTCACCAACCCCCTCCGTCTCTCTCCCTTCCTCATACCACCTCCTCTCCCTCCCCATCTCCACCAACCCTCTTTCTCTCCCCTCCTCCTCCCCCCACCAAGACAGCCCACCGGAGGCGATATTACTTGCTGTGATGATGGGAATAAGAATTGATCTTCCTCTCTCTGGTAATATATTCTCCTCCTGGATGTGTAATGAGATATATTTCGACCATTGTTTTTTTTTTCTTGTTCGTCCCCAAATATGTTTACTTCGTCTCCTGTTTTTGTTATTTATTTACCATAGAGTTGCAGTACTTGTGGACTTTGTTCCGTTAAGGATTAGGTTTCAGTTTGTTGTTTTTGTTATGTTCTTCTTCTTCTTCTTCTTCTTCTTCTTCTTCTCCTCGTCCTCCTTCTTCTTCTCCTTCTTCTTCTCGTCCTCCTCCACCTCCTCCTCCTCCTCCTCCTCCTCCTCCTCCTTCTACTTCTTCTTCTCCTTCTTCTTCTCGTCCTCCTCCTTCTTCCCAGATAGCTCCACACTCTCCAGCTAATAAATCAAACTATATTCATTCGCCAAATAAGTATCATCCTACAACAGTAAACTTTCGCTCGCCAAATGATAAGTCGATATCGCCAAACTACATCTTTCCCTCAAATGAAAGTATAACGACAGCTTTTCTCTCAGAAAGTTTGACCCTCTTTCCCTCACTTGGATCTTCCGGGAGAGAAAGTTTTGACATTATCTCTCACGATGGGAAGTTTCCTCAGCGCCATGTCTCTATCCCTCTCATCTCTCTATCCCTCTCATCACTCTATCTCTCTCATCTCTCTATCCCTCTCATCTCTCTATCCCTCTTATCACTCTATCCCTCTCATCTCTCTTTCCCTCTCATCACTCTATCCCTCTCATCTCTCTAACCCTCTCATCTCTCTATCCTTCTCATCTTTCTCATCTCTCATCCCTCTCAAATTTCTCATTCTTTTCAACTTACTAATGTTCCAGAATACCAACATAAACGTTGTAAAATGTTGCACCATAATTCAATGGAGACTTAATGCATGCCAGTCACGACGTGCCAGAGGCGAGGGCCTGCATGACACGGCAGCAGCAGCGTCCAAGGCAAGAAGAGGTGAGTGGAGGGAGGCAGGTGTGTGACCTCTCTTACTCGGGCCAGGTGGGCAGGTGTAGGGCGAGGCACACCTGCGATAGAGAGCGGCGAGAGAGTTTTAAAGTCTTTGAATTTAAGCACAGGTCATCTCTCTCTCTCTCTCTCTCTCTCTCTCTCTCTCTCTCTCTCTCTCTCTCTCTCTTATCTAGGGAGGTCACCACCACCGTCTGTTCTTGGTCGTGTTGTCGTCTGGTCAGGAGAGATATTTTCCCAGCCACATAGTCGACAGTGAACGAGACCGAAGGTGAATGTTTTAGGTAAGGAAGGGAAGGAAAGGTGGTATATTCCTTCCTTCCTTCTTTCTTCCATCTTTCCTTCCTTCCTTCGTTCACTCGGTCGTTCGTTCGTTGGCTCCTTCCTTCCTCCTGTAGTGCATTTCTCTCCCATATGTCGTTGTTGCTGTTGTTTTTGTCCTCATCACCCGTGTGAGTAACGTGTGGATGTTGAGAGAATGTGGTTAGGTTAGGTTAGGTTAGATTAGGCTAGATTAGGTTGAGATAAAATCGAAAGAGGGTAGGGTTCTGATAGGTATGGTTAGGTTAGGTTTTGTATACCTAAACTTATCTCTTTATCTACGGAAAAATTATGGAATTTCAGATAACTTTATTTCCTCTTATCTTCGCCACACACGACACACCTTTGGGTACCTGTCGCTGGGGTCATTTTTACACCTTCGTCAGGTTGAACACACCGCTCGCTGTCTGCCTCTCAACTGTAAACAAACAGAAGCCTCACACAGATCAGCGCCATCTATATTTAGCGCTACATATTCCAAGTCATCTATAGTCATATGCTGCAGGGAGTCGTAGTTCCTTCTCTTATTATTATTATTATTATTATTATTATTATTATTATTACATGTTTGTTATGACAGAAACTCCCACCGGTAAGACGACTTAGAAGATTAAGTAAAATGTGGGTTATATTTACCGTAGATTTATCTGGTCAGTCTATTGTGTGTCTTGACAGGTAGAGTGAAGGTCTTGTTGTGGCGGAGGACCAAGATGGCGGGGCGTTAGTGTTATAGTAGTAAGAATTGATCCGAGAATTACCTCCCCCCCTCCCACCCCCCACCGACGTTACCTGAGGTGTTTAGGTTAAGTTAGGTTAAGTTAGGTTAGGTTAGGTTAGGTTGGAGTAACTACCGTATCTACTATTATGGGTAGGGTCAACTTGTAGGCGTGTTAGTTTTAAATACCATGGGTGAAAGGTAATAGTTTAGTTATATTTAGTGTGTGTGTGTGTGTGTGTGTGTGTGTGTGTGTGTTAGACCGTAAATCATTATGCTGTAAGTTAAATATCAACCAATAAGCTGTTCTTAATCTGCACACACACATGTAGCCCTCAGCATCTCACTGTTCTCTCACACACACATGTAGCCCCCAGCACCTCACTGCTCACACACACACACACACACACACAGTAGCCCCAGCACCTCTCTACTCACACTGGCTATGGAAATATATTAAGTGCAGCTCCTGACACGTGCTAGAGGGTGTTGGAGAGAGGGTGTAGGAGAGAGGGTGTAGGAGAGGGTAGGAGGGACGGTGTAGGGAGAGGGGTTTTAGGAGAGGGTGTAAGGAGAGGGTGTAGGAGAGAGGGTGTAGGAGAGACGGTGTAGGAGTGAGGGTGGGAGAGAGGGGTGTGGGAGAGAGAGAGGGTGTACTTAGGAGAGATTGTAGGAGAGAGGGGTGCAGGAGAGGGTGTAGGAGAGAGATTGTAGGAGAGACGGTGTAGGAGAGGGTGTAGGAGAGGGTGTAGGAGAGGGGTGTAGGAGGGACGGTGTAGGAGAGAGGGGTGCAGGAGGGTGTAGGAGAGGGTGTAGGAGAGACGGTGTACTAGAGAGGGTGTAGGAGAGTGTAGAGAGAGGGTGTAGGAGAGAAGAGTGTACGAGGAAAAGAATAAGAATGACAAGTAATTGAAATATCGCGCTGATCCGACGAGTGTTGTTGTGGGTCAGCCATATAAGACGCGGGTTGGATGGTTCATATACCAGAATCTTAGTTTGTTTATTGAAGATGATTTCTACTGCATCCCGGGGAGACTGGCGTAGTTAGGAGGTGAGTTTTGACACGATCCTTCACCGAGAAAGTGATGTACAGGAAAAGAACTGACGCTCTCTTATGTTAATTGTCATTTGGAATTTTCATTATTATTATTATTATTATTATTATTATTATTATTATTATTATTATTATTATTAATATTATTATTTCGCTTTAATGTCGGGTGTAGAGGATGGCGTCAATGAGGAGGCTCACACCCAGGCCAGTTTTAATAAAGCCGTGATATAAGGCAGAGATGCAAAACCTGTCCGAACTTGGTAGATCCAGTTGGGAAAACCTGCAGCTGGGGAGACAGAGAGATGACGCCGCCTCTACCAGGGAAGAAGACGACACAAAGGTCACGAGAATTTTGTCCAAGTCGAAACTCTGCGTCCCTCCCTGAACCTGGTGGGGAGGGGGGGGATGGAGGTGTTGGAGGGAAGGAAGACGGAGGGGTGTGAAGTTCTGAGGGGGAGGAAGTGATGATGGAGGGGTGGGTGGTAATGAGGGGAGGGGTGGGTGTTGGTAGGGGGTGAAGGTAGAGGGATGGGTGAGGGTAGGAAAGGGTAAGGAGGAGGGAAAGGTGGGTGGAGCTGGAGGGCAGGGGTGAGTGGTGCTAGGGAAGGAAGGGAGGGAGGCTGGCGCGGTGCTCTCCTCAAGGCTTGATAAAAGAAAGCCCCAAGTTATGCAGGTAAAGTTTCCCGGTAGAGAAGAATTTTGGGCTGAGTTAAAAATGGCAACAAAACTGATTCAAAAACTTAATTGAATTTCCAAAATTTTGACACGGTGAAAAGAAGGCCTGGGGGAGAGAGGGCGGGGGGGGAGGGGGGGAGGGGGAAGGAGAGGTGAGAAGACGCGACCATCGACCCCCAGTTGACCTTGTGGGGTTAATTACAGGTGTTTCTCTCACCGTAAGTTTACCTGAGCTAAGTCTCAGCCGAGTGACGGTCGCCGGGTCGAGTCTCGCAAACCAGCAATACGAGACTTTATTACGAGACAGACAGCAACAAGGCCCGAGGCTCGTCACGTGAGGCCGGCGGTGCTTCCTGACAATTACTGCTGCTCTGAGTCACGTCACAGCTGGAGTATTCAGACACACTGATCCCGGGGGCTGGTGCAGGGTCATGATTGGTCTCATTTGGTAGTGGTCTGATCTGGTCTTGTCTACACTGGTCTGATCTGGTCGTGTCTACACTGGTCTGGTCTGGTCGTGACTACACTGGTCTGATCTGGTCGTGTCTACACTGGTCTGGTCTGGTCGTGACTACACTGGTCTAGTCTGGTCGTCTCTATACTGTTCTGGTCTACAATGGTCCACATTTAATTTGATGGAGTGGTTTAAGTTGTTAAGTAGTGGTTGAAAAGTTAATAAGTTGTCAGTGTAAGGTCAAAGACATATAACATTTATACCAAACTGCTGTAGATGGTAAAATAGTAGTTAACAATCTCTTCCAAAAAATCCCAAAATATCCCATCGCAATAAAAATATGTTTAGAATTTCGATAATTTTTAGTTGAAACACACAAGGAAGTTTCGTCCAGGGAAGATTTGACCAACTTATCTGGGGCCTTTATAAACAACGATGATACTCATAAGTTAAAAGCCATAATTAACATAATATTATAATTTGTTAATTTCCTCAACTAAATCTTGAACAATGAAAACCTAACCTAACCCAACGTAACCTTACCTAACAAAACAAACCAAACCAAACCAAACCTAACCTAATATATTATTATTATTATTATTATTATTATTATTATTATTATTATTATTATTACTATTATTATTATTATTATTTTCATTATTACTAGCGGAATCGCGGCTCTTTCGCTAGGCCACGGTAGGACGCCACCCTCCGGGAGGCTCCACATTGTCTCACTGTAGTGCATTAAGGTGTCTGCTTTGATCCAGACTTTGTACTCGTCAGAAGGCATGTTTTCCAGGGCATTTTTAAATGACTGTACATACGTGTTGCGTTCATGCAGCATTTCTTGGATAGATAGGACAATGTCATGTCTGACACCTTGAATGTTGCCACACCTGATAGTAGTCTGCTTTTCATGATCTCCCATAAAGTAGATTTGGAGGAACTTTGCCTGCTCATCTTCCAGTGGTAAGAGGGATCCTGCTTTGTGATAGACTTGACTCTGGACTTTGAATGTGGGCATGTATCCGTGCTCACGAACTACTCTGGTAGCTCCAAAGGATGTCATCTGGAAGCATGAATTGTACTTCAGTATATTTTCCAAGAAGTGTTTTGACTGGTGTTGTTCCCAGCATGAGAGTCTTCAATGGTTGTGGTGGTTTTTCCGAATTTGGCAGTCGTACTTTCCCTTGAGAGCAGCATAGTCCAGCAGATTCTCCTTTGTACTTCTTTGCACCGCAGTATTCACATTTCTTATCCATGTTGCCAATGACGACAGAGGGATACTTTTCATATTCAATATATAACATCATCCATCATCACTCCGGGCGGCTCTTTCGCTATGCCATGGTGTGAAATATCGTGTGAAATATCGTACGTTTGGCATACCTCGTTAGAATGGACTACCTACCTACCTTGTTAGAATGGACACCCTAGAAAAGTTTAGAGATCAAAGAAAAGTAAGCTGTAATGAGAAAGAGCATAAGGATAAAATTAGCTATAATACATGGGATGGGATACGACTTTTCAACCTCTGTGTGGTGTAATGGATGGAGGGAATACAACTTTTCTAAGTGTGTGCGTCGGGGCTGTATCGGATCGGATTGGTTGGAGTCTTTTTTGAGATCACTACATATAACACCATCCATCATCACTACATATAACACCACCCATCATCACTACATATAACACCATCCATCATCACTACATATAACACCATCCATCATCACTACATATAACACCACCCATCATTACTACATATAACACCATCCATCATCACTACATATAACACCATCCATCATCACTACATATAACACCACACATCATCACTTCATATAACGACATCCATCATCACTACATATAACACCATCCATCATCACTACATATAACACCATCCATCATCACTACATATAATGACGTCCATCATCACTACATATAACATCATCCATCATTACATATAATACCAGCCATCATCACTACATATAACACCATCCATCGTCACTACATATAACGACGTCCATCATCACTACATATAACACCATCCATCATCACTACATATAACACCATCCATTATCACTACATATAACACCATCCATCATCACTACATATAACACCATCCATTATCACTACATATAACACCATCCATCATCACTACATATAACACCGCCCATCATCACTACATATAACACCATCCATCATCATTACATATAACACCATCCATCAACACTATATGTAACACCACCCATCATCACTACATATAACACCATCCATTATCACTACATATAACACCACCCATCATCACTACATATAACGACATCCATCATCACTACATATAACATCATCGAACATTACATAAAACACCATCCATCATCATCACTACATATAACACCATCCATCATCACTACATATAACATCATCGATCATTACATATAACACTATCCATCATCATCACTACATATAACACCATCCATCTACAGATCGATAATGTACTTTCCGAGATTCTCGTGTGGACACTATCTCCACTACAGACAAGACACTGCACTACTCACCATACACTACCTTCACTACACATCATACACTCTCTTCACTATACAGTACATGGTACAATATCTTCACTACACATGGTACAATAGTTTCACTACACATGGTACACTACCTTCACTACACATGGTACACTACCTTCACTACACACAACACACTATCTACACTACACACCATACACTACCTCCACTACACACAATACACTGCATTACACACCATACACTGCATTACACACCATACACTACCTTCACTACACATGGTACACTATCTTCACTACACATGGTACACTACCTTCACTACACACAACACACTATCTACACTACACACAATACACTGCACTACACACCATACACTACCTCCACTACACACAATACACTGCATTACACACCATACACTACCTTCATTACACATGGTACACTACCTTCACTACACACAACACACTATACACTATCTACACTACACACAATACACTGCACTACCTTCACTACACACAATACACTGCATTACACACCATACACTACCTTCACTACACATGGTACACTATCTTCACTACATATACATCATTCACAATATACAATATGTACTATACTTAATCTGCACTACACAAGAGACTATCTACACTGAATAATAAATTTGGACCTGTTACAACCTGATTATTATTGACTGACCACATAAATATAATAAGGTTGATACAGTTGTTCCCATAAGTATGTTGTATAAATAATAATACAACAATGTTCTCGAAACTACTGTTTACGATTCTAGGTGTCTACGCCATCTTCCTGTTGGCCTGTAGGGAATATACAAAAATATTAGAAAAGGAATTAATCTCTTTGGAAAGAGAGTTAATGGAAAAAAGCTCTCAATATACACTTCCTATGGTGGGATGGCTCCATTCCTTAGTCAAACCCCCATATAATTATCAGAAACTAAATCCTCCGCCATTAGCAAGATGCCCACTCGTCGGTCAGCTGGCTAATATAGTGCATAAAACCAACCAAATTACAAAATATAAATTGATGATTTAAAGCATTGATGAAGATGTGTATAACTTTGTCATTGTATTATTGATATAGCTGGTGTTAACTGTGGCCCTCAGCATCCTTGTCTATTGCTGTTGGGGTAAAAGAAACTCTAGGTCTCAAAAGGTGAGAAATAAGACCCAGCAGATAAGGATAAGCTATGATGACGAATACTGTACCGATGTCGATGACGACGACGACCCTACCGTCGCTGACGTCGACAACGATGACGACTGTACCGCTGCCGACTACGACAAAGACTATACCGTCACCGCCGACGACCGTACCGTCGCTGACGTCGACAACGATGACGAATGTACCGCTGCCGACTACGACGAAGACTATACCGTAGCCGCCGACGACCGTACCGTCGACGACGTCGACTACGATGACGACTGTACCGCCGCCGACTACGACGAAGACTATACCGTAGCCGCCGACGACGATCAGGAGCTGGCTGCTGACGCCGACTAATATGACGCATTGCATCATTGATTGCATGATGATGACTTATATATCATTGCCGACTACGACGATCGTGAGTCACCGCTGACGTCGACTACGGCGACGACTGTACCGCTGCCGACTACGGTGATGATGACTATACCGTTGCCGATCACGATGACGACTATACCGCCGCCGATCACGACGACTGCATCGTCGCTGGATGTCGCATTACTTATGACGACTGTACCGCCAGCTGACTACGATGACGACTGCACACCGCTTTCGCCACTTTACGCATTTAAGATTTCGAGTACCGCTGCCGCCGGATGACGACCGGTGATTGGGTCATTGACGTCGACTACGGAGACGGATTGTACCGCCGCTGACTACGACAGGATTTATCAGTACCGCCGCCGACTACATTGAAGATTCCATAATACGCCGCTTTACCACGACGAAGACTATAATTGCCGCCGCCGACTACGATGAAGACTATATCACGCCGCCGCCGACGACGCTAACGTACCGCCGCTGACGTTTACTGCCAGAGATGACTGTACGCGCTGACTCGAGACGACGACCATGCTCGTCGCCACGACGACTGACTGCTGCTGACGTTTACCATTATGACGCATCGTACCGCCGCCGACTATGATTTATTTATCACTGGCGTCAGCCGACGACTACCGCTGGATTACCGCGACACTGTACTCTCCGCCATTACGACGACGACTATACCGTCGCCACCGACGACGACGACCGTACCGTTGCTGACGTCGACTACGATGACGACTGTACCGCCGCTGACTACGACGACGACTATACCGTCGCCGCCGACGACGACCGTACCGTCGCTGACGTCGACTACGATGACGACTGTACCTCCGCCAATTACGACGACGACTATACCGTCGCCGCCGACGACCGTACCGTCGCTGACGTCGACTACGATGACGACTGTACCGCCGCCGACTACGACGACGACTATACCGTCGCCGCCGACGACCGTACCGTCGCTGACGTCGACTACGATGACGACTGTACCGCCGCCGACTACGACGACGACTATACCGTCGCCGCCGACGACCGTACCGTCGCTGACGTCGACTACGATGACGACTGTACCGCCGCCGACTACGACGACGACTATACCGTCGCCGCCGACGACGACGACTGTACCGTCGCCGCCGACGACGACTGTACCGTCGTTGACGTCGACTACGATGACCACTATTCCGTCACCGACGACGTGGAGCCGAACTTATTATTCGGTCTCCCCTCGGGTGATGTGCACTCACTACTGGACGAAGACTTGATGAATGAGGTCACTAGCCTCCTTTTTTTGGTAGATTTGTAGATAATTCAGTTTTTATTGATTAGGTTAAATCTTCACTAAAAATGACCGCCGGGGGTGAGATTTGAACTAATGAGCCATACAGGACTGGGTAACAATAATTAATATAATGCAATATGGTGAGATTTCCTTCATATAGTTTATTTAATTCTAAAGCAGTTTTGTTTGTGTATATTCTCTATTATTCATTAAATTGGGCTTAATTGTAAGGTATGTAATGTTATAAGTGTATAATAATTAGTACTATATAATATAGTATAGCACAATCAGACAACACCTTTGTGCTCCTACATAAGTACAGCTCTGTACATATGGTTAGCTGTATAACTTCATTACCATCAGCCACTTATTGTGCTATTTACATATTTTTTATCTTTGGGTAAACGATGGACTTTCATATGAATAATTCTTTTTTTTATCTTTGCCACACAAGACACAGTCATGTCTACCTGTCGTTGGAGCCAGTTGTGCTACCTGTCGTCGGAGCCAGTTGTGCTACCTGTCGAACCGATTACCTGTATCACAGTGGCCTGAGCCACGCATGGCACAGGTGATGAGGACACTCGGCGATCTCTTTCTCTGACAATGATGCAGTCAATGAGATGCCAGTGTTTGGATCGTGGGTGTTGCCACGAACCCTTGAACTTGTCGTCCTGCCTAAACAAGGTATTGGTGATAGTGAAGTTGTGTTCAACACACTTGCTGAGGAGGAATAAGCCGTTGGGATTACACTTGCCTACTCCATTTCTTCCTATGGTTCCCTGCCATATGTCAGCATCTCTGCCAAGACTGGCACTGACGTCACCTAGGAGCACAACCTTATCTTCTCTGGGGATAGAGTGCTCTGTCCATGTCGGCGTAAAAGTCCTCCTTGATGTCATCCTCTGCATCCAGTGTTGGGGTGCATGCACTGATGAAAAAGGTGTGACGTAAGTGATTCAGTAGGACTCGGAGCGTCATGAGGCGCTCGTTGATCCCAACAGGCATTTCAGTTAACCTACAGAATGTAGGATGGATTGGCAGCAGGCTTACCCTTCGAGAGGAAGGCATAGCCAGATCCCCGTTCTGTGAGTCGACCCTCGTCTGGGAGCCAGGACTCGCCAATGGCTGCTTTGTCGATGTTATGCCAAGCCAGTTCCTTTGCCACAAGGGCAGTTCTTCTTTCAGGACGCTCAATTGTGCCAGTATCCAGATGGGTCCTGACATTCCACGCAGCGACCATAAGAGGTTGTATAGTTTGTTTTTGTTTTGATCTGTGATTATTATTGTGTTTTTGACCACATAAGGATGACCGTACTGAGTGCAGTTGCCCAGTCAAGCTGGTTCTTTAGGCAGGCCATGTTTAAGGCACCTTTTCTAGCAGAGTGGCTTTTCGAAAGGGCTGCTCAGTCGCACAGACAGGACCGGATTGTACTGCTGCCTAGATCCCAGTGCATAAACGACCATCTTATCTGTGCCGTCCATGTGCAGAGTTGTGATTAGAGACTCCCGGCAGTTATCTCTGCCTGTCCCCGTCGCCACTCGTCCGTCACCATAGGACTTTTGGGGTATACGGGGGGGGGGTGATGATGAGAGGTATGATGAGCTGGATGATGGCTGCGCGTGAGTTGATTTATGTGGTGAGGCAGGAGCGCAGGCTGCAACCACACATCTTGGCTCTCCCTTTTCCTGATCCAGTGGTGCAGGCAGTTGCAACGACTGGGGAGAGGGAGAGGTCACACACACACACACACACACACACACACACACACACACACACACATGCACATATGTACACATGTACACACACAGAATAGGCCATACAGTATGTCAGAATTGTTGTGTCGTCATATTGCATATTGTGTGGGGTGGTTACCGTTACTGCTCTTCAACAACTAAGGTCTTTAAGCCCGTATTAGCCGAGGAGTAAAATGTAAACTGGCTGAATTAGTTGTAAATATTCTATGATATTATCAGGGTATTTGGATCAGCTGAAGAATCTCCACCCTGACTTATTAAGCGCCCTGACACTATCTGGGGGGATGAGATTAGGTTAGGTTGGATAATGTTTGGTTAGCGTTAGTATGGACAATCTTGGTGAAATAAGCTAGGGCGGAATTTTTTCAGACGATTCCCTATATATTGAAAACATTGTGTCTGACTCATGTAAACATTAGCCCAGTGAGTGACAACGGTTTCTCTCATCTGTATAAAATCGTTTAGCGAAAACCAAAATAAAATTTCTAAGATCGACATTACTCCTTAAATGGTTAAAACCTTACATTATATGCTAGGTAACGTACAGTCAACAGCAGAAGTTCGTCCCAACACAATTGCATGGTATGAGTCAGGTGATCTGGTAACACTGTGAGAAAGATTTGACAGATAGGCTTTAATTGATTAGTTATTTAAGTCAATCGGAAATTGCCTAAGAGAACAATAATTATATATAACTTAAATATTATCAGTGAGTAAAATGTAGGAATATAATGTTATTGATGGATGTAACAATGTGCCGGGTGGTTCATAGCTGGGGGAACAAGACGCCTCCATACTGTTGATGCCAGCTAGTATTTTTCATGATTAATTATATTTTTCATCACAAAAGAATATCATATATTTTTCAATGTCATTATTTTCCTACATTTGACACATTGATACCATTTAAGTTATGTATTCTTAGGCAATCTCCGATGATAAATCCTGAATAATTAACAAATTAAAGCCTATCTGTCAACTGTTCCCCCAAACAATGTAACCAGATCACCTGCCTCATACCATGCAGGTAGGTTGTGACAAGTACGAACTGCCGCTGTTGACTGTACGTGACGCCATTACAGGATGAACTTGGCTAATCCGAAACGTCAGCGGGCGGGCGAGCGAGCTACCACGTGACTATAGATTTGTCCACCAATATATTATTCTGATTCGTGATTTATCGAATATCACGTGATCGTAAATGTCACGTATGATTGGTTAAGTTCAATCACGTGATCAAGTAGGTGCGATGACGTCACCGATCGTATAAAATGATGCACCATTGCGTGGCGTCAGTCAGTACTCAATGGTGGAGTGGTGGATGTGTCACGTGCTGGTGCGGAAAGCTTTATTGTTTACCGGACTAAATTAGATATATCAGTGAATTCTCAAGTAACTTATTTAATCAATGTCGTGTAGCTTACTCAAGAACTTGCCGTGCAAACTCTCACAGACACAGTGTTGCCTCACCAGAAATTGATTGTAATGTTCCTCCGCGACCATTGGTGAGTGGTTGAGAGCGAGCTGTAGGTACCTGGCGACATGCCCCTCAGTGGCTGGTGACGTCTTCCCCCCAGGACACTTGTGGCCTCCTTCATGGTAAATATCCCTCGTAAATGATGTAGTAAAGACAGTTCATTACTAAGCTGACTGTTAGATTTAGGCGCGAGATAGGTAAACATTGGTTTGGATGAGTGGAACAAGTTACCAAACATCATCATTAACTCGAACACTCTGGATAGCTTCAAACATAGGTTGGATGGATATATGACCGATAGGGTTGGGTGTAAACGGGACTGCCCAATATGGGCCAATAGGCCCGCTGCAATTTCCTCCATTCTTATGTTTTTATTTATAACTACGATATTACAGTGGGATTGAACTGAACTCTTTTAGAATAATTAGTAGTTAAAATGGCTGTGTTTTGGGTGTTATATAATTCACCGGATTATAATATTAATAAATATTGTCTAGAACATAAGACATAAAATAGTGTTTCCTGGTGAGTTATGATAATGTCATAAGTTACTTCACGTTCAAATGTAATTATTTAAAATAACTATTTCTCGGGCATTCGATTATTTTTTTCAATTTCAATATTTTATTCCTTGATAAAGGAACCGGGATCCTATTGCTGTCACTAGGTACAATAACCCCAGAAGCATCTGGCAAGTGTCACAGGTATATATAAATATTATAAAGGGGCTTACTAAAGCCTAAAGAAGGAAGGATATTCCTTCAACACATCATCAATATTATTTTCATAATATCTGGCCAGTATGGGGAGGATCATCGTGTCTCCGTCAGGGGGTCGTGGAGTGGTGGTCCAGCAGGCGTCACGGAAGCGTTGTGTGTGGGGGCATCTTGAGAGGTAGAGGACAAGGGTGCGGCTGTCGGGTCTTCAGCATAAGAGTGTTGCTCAGAGGATGTAGGGATACCAATCTCCCAAGCAAAGTCATACCCAATGCTCTTAGGCACTTGATGTTAATTGTTGCCACCATCAGTGGTCGTCAAAGGTATTACTCTACAGTAAGTCTGAGCCGCACTGAGTCCTGCAGTAGTTAAGCAGACGACGACCCCACCAGCTAACCCGACCACCACCACCACCTAACCCGACCACCTCCACCACCTAACCACCACCTAACCCCACCACCACCACCACCTAACCCTACCACCACCACCTAACCCACCTAACCCTACCACCACCACTAACCCACCACCACCACCACCACCTAACCCTACCAACCCCCCTACCCACCTAACCCCCTACCCCCACCTAACCCCCTACCACCACCTAACACTTAATTATACAGATCAACGGCGTGTGGGCGCAGTAGTCCGGATAAAATGTATATGTCGCTTTATCAGTTCGGATGAGAAATGTTTATCTTCTAGTTATCTGTTATGGTATTGGGGGGATGAAGGAGGGGGAAAGGGGAGAAGGAAAGGAGGAGGTACTGGCTGATGGGTCTGTTTACTCTTTCTCTCTCTCTTTTTCTCTCTTATTCTGTCATTTTTTTTTTCTCTCTCTCTCTCTCTCTCTCTCTCTCTCTCTCTCTAGAAACAGATTTTTCCTGAAGTAAGACCTGAACGACTCGACAGATTTAACGCGTGAACGAAGGAAAAAAAGAAAAGCTTTCAGAACTCACCTGCCCACAAGAGATCAAAAGAGAACGCATTTTACTCTCGAGAATTGTGTTCAAACCAGAGTAGAGGAAATAAAAGTATAAATG